ATGTGACTTCAATCCACAAGTACAGTATGTGACTTCAATCCACAAGTACAGTGTGTCTCACTAAAGGAGAAGACAAATCCTAGCAGTCCGAAGTGGGTGTGCATTCTTAGAAGGTTCTCCTGTGCTGCTTCCGGGACGCGAGGGGAATGCTGCACAACGAGCTGCCCTGTAAGAACACACGGTCACCGCTACCATTTGTGCCGCTCAGCTCCAGAAACCCATGGAAATTGTTGGGAAAAATGGTCGAGACCAGCTTCGTGCAACCTCTACGCGAGTCCTCAAACAGCTATGGAGACCTACCAAAAATTTAGAAGTAAGGCTGGGAGACCATACCGCACGCATCATATTGTCCTGACATAGGCCCCTACGACTGCTACCTGCTTCGCCTCCTCAAAGGTTTCTAGTTGAGAAAACTCAGCAAGTTTGATGACACCAGTCGAGAGAAGCAAGTTTGATGACACCAGTCGAGAGACCGCCGACTTCTACTCGCAACCTCTCCAGTTCTTGGAGAGAGAAATTCTTACCCGCCCATTAGGTCTAGCACTGCATTGGCCAACAATGAAGAGTACATTGTTGATTAATATTGCATGTTAAGTTAGAAAATAAAAAATAAAACAATCCAAGACAGCGACAAGACTTTCTTTCCAACCTGTATGAACCAGACCCGAACCAAAGGTTTTGCATCTAATAAAGGTTTCCTTCTTGTTATTCACAGCGTCACATCCCAAGCAACCGCACAGATCCCCATTCTACTCCCTGAAAGTCTGAGGCTTTGTGTGCAAGGCAATTTTGAGCTTTACCATTGAAAATGACTTCTATTGATTGCAAGTCGCTCATTCTTTCAGCGACATCTGGGTTCGGCCACTTGTATGTCGTTTGAAACATCAAAATTTTTTAGAGAGAGGGTCAGATTCATCTAATGGATTGCACATGAATGGGCAGGATTCTTTGGTGCAACCTTTGCTCACGGACTTTTATCAGGTCAGCTTCTGTACCGTTCCTATACAAAAAAGTCGCGTTTTGCACATCACTGTGACGGGATGGGCGTGGCTGCGTACTGCACTTAAAGACACATGGTACGCTCAAACACATTGAGGGTGTATGAGACTATCAGCCCCCCAGCTGTCGATGTGTCGTGGTCCCCCGCCCAAACATGCCCAGGAATGGAGATACAGGACCGTGAAACACGCTAATTCCTCCATGCTCCGCCTTACACCTTTTGCGGCGCATGTTTGGGCGGGGGGACCACGACACATCGACAGCTGGGGGGCTGATAGTCTCATACACCCTCAATGTGTGTGAGCGTACTATGTGTCTTTAACACGGCATAGGATGGCTTGATCGTGGGATTTCAGTTTGGGAAAAGTGTCATCTTGTGTTGTGTTGGACCAAGACGTGGATACAGTTGTCCCGAAATGAAAATATCTCACCAAAACCGCATCCACCGTTCAGATGAGGTACGCAGACACGCCTACCGCATCGGAGGGATTCGGAGTTTCAAACAGCGTGCTCCACGATGCTCGGCATTAATGCCCTGTGCTCGCGCCTTGGTTTATGTTAGTGACCGTTGCATAGATTACTGTAGAATGCTCATTCCAAGAATAAATATGATTGCTATTGAATCATCAGTCACATTTTGAGATTACAATGTGCTATGCATACTGGTTAGCAGGTACGCATGATGAGCCGGCAGTCTTCGATCTCTTCTTCAGGTAAATGCATCAGTCTGTTAAGCTGTGCTTAACTATCCCTTACAACCTGATTTTAATCGCTCAAGGAGCGTGCACAAATTTTAGAGAGCTGTTGCTTAGTTTGCACTCCAAAAGTTATCACAAGTATGCTGAGTTAGCAAAATTCTTGACCTCAAGTGGGTATCACAAGGATGCTGAGTTGTGGGCAAAACTCTTGACTACAAGTGAGACTCGAACCGCACCTCACGCTTTCCGGGAGAGTAAACTATCCATTGCGCCACCAGGGCAGCTCTTATCCTCCTGTGATTAGCTTGATGGCTTTCATGCCTTACAATTAGCCTTGCAATACACACAGGCTTTTTAGCTTACTTTTTTACGAAATCGTTTCGGATAGGAGTTCCAAATTTATGGGGTTGTGCATCAAGGAACTTCCTTCTGCCAAATAGTGTATCGAAGTGAAAAATTGCGAATTCACTGGAATTAAACAACAATCAGTGCACTTGGGTTCAGGGTCTTCGCTAGGCTCATATCAGGACCTGATTGTGACCTGATCTGTGGGAAGGCCGACAACCACTTGAACCGATACGCGCGAGCTTGTCACAATTTGCTAAAAGATCCTACCAAGGTGGTTTTAGTTTGCTTGCCGGTTGTATTTTCTAATTTCCAGAAAGAATCCATTCCAAGGAGAGTTCACGATATTTGCTGGACTGGAGGACTGCCTTCGTTTTGTGGAGAGTTTCAGATTCACTAAAAGTGGTGAGTTTCTACTTCCTAAATATCCGCTGAAAAGTCGTAATTTGAAGGATTTTTCTGTATACTGATCGATATTCTGACACTTGAGACAAGGACAAGAGTTCGAAGAAAAAGGAAGGACAAGAGTTTAAAGAAAAAGGATAAGGGTGGTCCTCAAATATTATAGAATGGCAATGATTAAATAGAAGCGTTGCAGTCGACGATAAATGACTAAGAATGATAGCAACAATGAGGTTGTGGGGCATCCGATGGTTTATGGAGCTGTCAGGAAATGAATGAAACTAGAATCTACCTCAGACTGTCCAATTCTTATGCGTACCCGTTATTTGATTTGAGCGTTATTTTTCCAGATATTGACTTCATCCAGAAGCTTCTTCCAACCGACTGCAAGTCTGAATTTTTTGAATACCTGGCTCAACTGGATTGTCACAGCTTAGTGATCAAAGCTATTCCAGAAGGTTAAGTGATGCTCTTAATTAGTTTAGTTTTCTCATCGCGATATTCGCATCTCCTATACCTGCAAAGTATTATAGATAACTAGAGGTGGACAAATCGATGGGACATCTGTTTTTTTTTCTACCATCTATTGAGACTATTTGATGGGAAAAGCATTGGGAATCTTGGACCCAATGAAAAAAGGAATGCACTAACGAGAGATTACATCAGGGCACATGAGTGTTGGGGATTCCTGGGGTCGTAGTTGGTCGCTGGGAGATGGGAGCGTATTTGAGCTGCGGAAAATTTTTTCGATAGTTGTTTTTTCTTTTTTCAGATACGTTGTAAAGGGAGGGAGGGGGGTAGTACGGGCTCGACCAAAATCACCAACCGTTGACTTGCCCTGGATCAGACTCTATTTCGCAGCAGATGAATGGGCGTGTCACGCTGTACGAGAGTGCGGCCCTGAATGTGCACAATGCCAAACCTGTTCTCTGACGTTGAAGCAGGTATGCGAAACTGTTGGTAGAAAACGAGTGATACGAACGATATGATACTGTCTTGTCACTTGCTCGCTTCAACAGCTGGTGGAGAATGGACATGGCACCGCGATTTGTCTGGTTTCAGATACGTTGTAAAGGGAGCGGCGGCACTCACAGGCCCCTTACGCCGAAGCGAACCACACTATAGGATGAGCCGGCGTTGCACGTATACCAACGGTAGGAATCGAAAGCGACCTTAACTCAGAATAACCATTGACCAAAGAATTACCAATTCTTGCCCAGATATGGAGTAAATACACCAGACGGCAAAAAGATGCTCCAAAAACGAAGTGTACACTCACCTCTGTGGATCCTGGTCCTTGCAGTATGCGAGGTCAGGGGGCCACAGCTGCAGTAGTGAGCCACTTTCTCCGCTAATTGCACGGGATCGGATCTGCAAGGTAACGATGCCTGGGTGCTGCTTCCGAGCTTCGTCAGCGTTGCCGCAGGGCCAGCCACACGCTAAC